TGGACACAGTTTGCAAAGCTTGGGGGGGGGGGGGGGGTTCTCATATTTTAAAGCTGTGGCAAGTCTAAAATTGACAGTACAAAGATTGTAGTGTGTATGGAGAGTCTCAGACCTGCCAAAGCTATGCAATGCAAGGACCTACCGAAAGTAGCCAATCTGTATCCAATCACTCAGGCGCACACCTTACTAACCGTTTGTCAGATCTAAAGGCAATTGCACAATCAGATGGCAACGTGTGTGGTGCGTGAGGATAACCATGCGTTTTAGAGCCATTAACATGCTGTTCAGGTCCTGGCCCCCCACCCAATATGTGGTACAGGGACCAGCCAGACTGAACAACCTTTGCAGTCAATTGACAATCAAGAGGACCACACTAACTGTGCAACCCAATAAAGATGCAGCGGACAATACAGTGAAAGGGCCCGGTCAAATACATTGTTTAAGATAGCTCCAGGTCACCATACATGGGACACTCCCACCAGACAATCTTTGCACAACCAAACTTTAGGTCAAGGGTGGCCAACTCCGGCCCTCCAGCTGTTGTGGAACTACAAGTCCCATGAGTCATTGCACAACTGACAGTAACAAGTGTGACCCTCAGATGAAGATGCATGTTGGGATTTGTAGTTAAAGCACAGCTGGAGGGCTGCAGCTGCCCAGCCCTGCTTTAGGTCTATCAAACCTATTTAATAAGGAGGGCCTACCTAACGTATGCACCAAGGAGCATTTATCACATCTATGGCAGTGCAAACCTAACAAGGGGATTTTAGAAGCACTGATTCAGCAACCCTTATGAAAAGCAATAATAGGCATGAGTTAGAATGTAAGCTCTGCGGCCCAGGCCAGAGTAAAGTCCAGACGTCACACCCGGCAGGAAGAGGGGTGACATGTCTACACAACTAAGTACACGTCAACCAAACTTCGGGCCCCGCCCACCAGTGTATTCAGCGCTTCACGATTGGCTGACGTGTCCCTGCGCTACAGCTAATTGACCAGCGCTCCCGTCACTCCGCGCAAGGGACCCGCCCAGGTGCGGCCTTATTGAGTAGAAAGGAGGGGGCCGCTGCTTCAAGTCGACAGCAAACGGCCCCACTCGTTTTATCGCAGCAAGCGATAACTAAAACCGAATGCATGTCTCCCTCACCCCCCGTCTTACTTACAGAACTCCACCAGCAGATAGTCATTTTTCAGCGCTTCCTCGAACGTGTCCTTCTTCAGCACCAGAACGTGGTTCTCCTCGAGAATGTCGGCCCAGACCAGGACGGTGGACAGCAACAACAGGGCGAGAGTGGGGCGCAGCATGATGGGGATCTGGGTGTACGGGACGTGGCACTGTGGAAGGAGGCCCTCTCTCCGCGCATGCGCTTTATATGCGCGGGGCAGCGGCTCGTGGTACGCTGTGACTGGGCCGCGAGCTGCTTCCGACCCTGCCTCGATCAGCGATTGGACGGCGGGCTGGGAAACTCACTGATTGGCCGTCCGGAAAGCTCTGTCAGGAGCGTCTTGTGCTGTGTGGCGCGCAGCGCGCCCCCGACCGGCCGCCGGAGTGCCTGACAGGGATCGTATGGACGTGACTGGGGGAGCATAGACACCCCACAGACCCCCTCCCGCTACTCTGAGACACGTCTGCGGGTGAGGAATCCCCTCCCTACCAGGGGCGTAACTATAGACCATGGGGCCCCAACAGTAACACTTCAATGGGGCCCCAGGGCAACCTCTCTGTCAGCTGTGACAATCCTGTAATTGATCTTAACATGAAGCGTGGTGAAATCAGAGAGCAAAGAAGACACAAGCTGTCAATGAGGAGAAACCATGGCAGGAATTAAATTGTTTGTATAAAGAAAACGTTTTGCATTGAATGGGGAACTGTGGGGAGATTGGCCTTTACTTCCTGTCCCGGAGAAGCAACAGGAAGTGGGGGAATTCCCTGCTTTGGTGTTGCCAGAACAAGTGTACCCACTGGAAGATTTCCCCTCACCTCCTGTTCTGGTGACAACTGTAACATTTTGGGGTTTCCCATCACTTTCTGTCTTGGTGACAATGGTCATTACAGGGACAGTTCACTTTTTCACCCCCTCCCTCCCTCCCCAAAAAAATATTGAACTGACTCCTAATTAATTCCTCCCCTCTGCACTTATCTGTAATGATCACCATCGCTCCCCGCCCATACAACGGCCCTGACACCTGAAATGTTCACTACACAACCCCGGAGGCTGTATAGCAGCATAATGCTAGAAATGGACCAATAGGGATCTCTTCTTTCTTGGAGGAAGTCGTCCTGCAAGAAAGAAGTGTCAGAATAAAATCCTGTTGGTCAGCGCAGTCATTTGACCGTGCTGACCAATAGGGATCTCTTCTTTCTTGGAGGATGTCGTCCTGCAAGAAAGAAGTCTTGGGGAAAAAAATTCCGTTGGTCAGCGCAGTCATGTGGCCGCGCTAACCAATGACCGGCCCCCCATTCATATATATAGAGCCCCTGGGGCCTTTTAGTGAACTTTTAAGGTTTCCGGATTGTTATATGGATGAGGAGCAATGGTCATCATTACAGATAAATGCATCGGGAACCAAAAGGGGGGGGATTCGTTTAACTCTAAATTTTTGGGGAAAAGGTGACCTAACCCTTTAAAGTAGAACTATGAGGTGAGTGATTTTCACTCAGCCTCATAGTTAGAGCCGACGTGTGACAATGAAACTGTCACACGTCGGCTCAATGGATCGGGAAGTGAGCGAACGCATACCGTCGCTCGCTCACTTCTCGATCCTGCGTTTTTCTGCACAAGAACACTGCAGGGCACGCAGAAAACAAATGCAGACAGGCATTTTTTCTGCAAGGCAGCGTAGCTCAGCTAAAGTCACTGCGACGCCATTCAAGCTGCCGAGCATTAACTTTACTCGACGAGTATGCTGCGCACCGCAGAAAGGAGGGGTGCATGCGCACCGCAGCTGTACAAAGCTTCAGTCTTTCTTAGCACCGGAAGTGAGGTAGTTGGAGATCTCGATGAGTTGGAGCTTTCGATAGAACACCGGTTTTTGAGACTTGTGTTCGGGTCTCAGGCCAGTTGACACCCGGGCACAAGACACTAGCTGCACTTCCTCACGAACATTCGCAGGGTGTGCGGGTGGAAGGAGATAAGTACCATTTCGGAAGTCTTGGGGTCAGTCATTTGATGCAGCCAGGTTTTTTCACTTCACCTTTTCTCCAGGCTGGGCTGTACTCAATGATGCATGGAGCGGCACTGAAAATACAATGGGGGGAATTCATCAAAACTAGCAGATTTGCACGGCAACCCATCAGCTTCTCTGTCTCATTTTCAAATCTCACCTGAGAAAACTGAAGAGAGATGCTGATTGGTTGTCATGGGCAACTGCTCCAGATTCTGTCTGCTCCAGATTTGATACATTTCCCCCAATGTCAATATGGCTCTCTGCTCTATTACACAATGAATGGTCGGCACCATGGTGACACCCCTTCACTTGGGTGTATTGCACATGCCCCATCGCACTGCTGACCGGTAGGGCCTGAGATTCGTGGTGGGTGCTGCATTGAGAAGCGGATGGCCCTGCAATCACAAGCCATAAAGAGAAGAGTCACTGGCTGTGATATAACTCCATCCTTTATTGATGCAAGTCCAACTCTTGCTTTGTGATATGTTGCACTTGCGTCAATAAAGGACGGAGTTATATCACAGTCGGTGTGTGCCGGTGACTCTTCTCTATACCCCTGACTAAGGTGGATGCATGACACCCTGTACTCACAGTATATCCTCAGTCTCTCAGGTTTTCTGATGCAGGGTGTCATTAAACCTGGAAGACTGAGGGCCCTGGCATACCATCAAGAGCGTGTTTGGCCTCTGGAACACAACCCGGCCGGCTCACTTTGTTTTGGGGCGGGAGGGGGGCGTGACGGTGCATTGAGCTCAAGGGCAACACAGCCATGCCCACCGCCCGCGGTGTGATCGCCGGCACCCGGGCAAATTAGGGCTTATTCACACCACAACTGCTCACAAAACTTCCCCCTGTGTTCTGTGGTGTGGCGGTGCATTGAGGTCAATGACAGCCACCACCCCCGCCTGCAGTGGGATCAGGCGCGTGACAAAACATTGCCTGCATTTCGTTCCACTGCAAACGCAAAAAATAGTGCATGCAGCATTTTTTGCGGATCGCACCGGAACGCAGGCACTAATGTGCCACGCGTTCGGGTGCCGCCGTGGGGGGCGTGTCTGCGGTGCCATTGAGTTCAATGCCCCGCCCCAAAACAAAGTGAGTCGGTCGGGGTGCGTTCCATAGGCCGAACACACTGGAACGCACTATTGATGGTGTGACTGAGGCCATCTTGTGGCAGAAAAGGGTTACTGCGGGGGAATTCCTGACCCAAAATACATGTGCTAAGCAAAGTCAGAAGTCTTGTCTGCACGCTTGTTCAAGATCAATGACTAGAGGGTTAGCCAACTGACATTTTCAATGGCAGTTCAACAGTAAGCACATCTTATCTTCCATTCAAGATTTGATTTATAACCCTCAGCATTTGCGTATGGTTCCGCTCCGGTGCACGTTCAGTTGGATACAGCTGCTTCTATTTCGGGAGCGATAGAAAGTGCAAATAGTTTCTGCGACCACTGAAGCCAACAAAGTGTTTCGTTTCTTATGTAAAAACATGGCGGAAACCTTTGCTGCCTCTTAATGGTGACGCGTCCCTGTCAGCAATGGTAAATAGGAGTATTGGCATATAAATCCAGAATAACAGGTTCCCCCCGTCCTGTCACCTCGTGTGTATTGTATCTGCAGAGAGGTAAATCTCCGCTGTCGGCATGAAAAGCTGCCCTGCAATTTACCAGACAGTCAATACTTCCATTGTAAAAATGACACGACCTGCTAACATTTCCTGATAATTGAGGATATGAGAGTCTTACAGCTGATGATAATAATATATGTTTCCTCAGAGGAAAATGTCAGGCCGGGGTAATAAGTAGAGGTGGATTAGCCACAGGACACACAAATATCGTTGTTTTATCATTGTTATTTCCAGCTGAACAACATATAAAATGAGAGAGTCGGATTTCTTCGCTGCGTCGCTGCTGTGTGTCGATAGCGCCCCTTTATGGGCTTCGGCAGACAACGGGTTCTTGCTGAGATTATCGGCCGTGACGCACATTGAATTCATTCTCCAGAACCAGAGACACCCATTTGGGCAATTGGAGACAAAGTCAGTCAGTATCAAGGGATTATATAACATCATATGTTAATACCAATGGACGCTTTTGTTCTCATGGTACCATGGGGTGTTGATTCTCTCGGACGCACTCAGCAATTAAATAAGAAACAGGAGAAGTTTAAATTACATATACACTATATTACCAAAAGTATTGGGACGCCGGCCTTTACACGCACATGAACTTTAATGGCATCCCAGTCTTAGTCCGTAGGGTTCAGTATTGGGTTGGCTCCGCCCTTTGCCGCTATAACAGCTTCAACTCTTCTAGGAAGGCATCCACAAGGTTTAGGAGTGTGTCTATGGGAATGTTGTAGCATTTGTGAGGTCAGGTACTGATGTTGGAGGAGAAGGCCGGGGTCACAGTCTCCACTCGAATTCATCCCAAAGGTGTTCTATCAGGTTGAGGTCAGGACTCTGTGCAGGCCCATCAAGTTCTGTGATTGGTCACTCCAGAGAACACGTCTCCACTTCTCTAGAGCCCAGTGGCGGCGTGCTTTACACCACGGCATCCCACGCTTTGCATTGCACTTGGTGGTGTAAGGCTTGGATTTCTGTACTGTAGTTCTATAAAATTGTAAATCCACCGAAAACTAAAGATATCCCGGGATACTAGAGGTCTGTGATCTCCATCACCTACTGCTGTAAGCATCTACAACAGACAGCACTATGGAGATATTGACCTGGAAATCCCGGCTCATCTTCCAATGTGGCTTTGCTTACATATCAAGTGTTATCGCCTCTTTCATCAATAGTGCCTAATTTTGGCTTCAGATGAATCTGGTCATACTCTGAACTCATGCCGAATCCTGCTAACATGGACAAAATTTGACCACCGTGTGGCCCTGTTGGCACCTCTCTATTCAACAAAAGTCGACTTTTCAATCAAAGGAGCCGGTCTGCAGACTCTTGTCTGCACAGTGATTGCAGCTAATTATGATAGCTGCCGCTGTCAGAATACAATAGCCGGTAGGGGAGTTTTCACCACCCACACTGTTTACTGTGAATGGGGGAATGAAGTGGGGCTGAATGAGAGAAAAACGCATAGCATATAGCGGGCTTTAGTCTTTTCCTAATGAAGTTGAATCTGTCCACTTCAAACTTTGCACTTTCGGTATGCTTATATCCCTGCAGTGCAAATATTTATATTTAGGTTTATAGGTTTCTCAACCTTCATTCATGGCACCCTTAAAAAGTATGCAAAATGTAAAAAAAACGATATTTGGATCCTCTAAAATCCATACCAG